GAAAATTGAATTAAGGTGAAGAACAAACTAAACAACCTCTATGAAAAACAGTGTAGCAATTGCTAAAAGAACTAGAAATTGATCTTCTATATGATCCAGAAACCTCTCTCTATCCCTCCATCTCTCTCTCTCTCCCGCTCCCCCCCATACCTACATCCTTATTGAGATAACTACAGCCACTAGAGGGCAATAAATATACAAAGATAAATGTACTTATCTATTATGAAGTCACACAATAATAAACGTAAAAATCATCATCACAAGCCCTGAAGCATAAGAATTAGACTTGAAAATGCAAAGTAGACACTTCAAACTCAAAACTATTTTGGAAAAGGAGATCACAAAAGCAATTTCATTTCCCTATAAGCACTAACTAAATAAAAAATAAGAAGCCTAATTCCCTTACAGGTACACAGCAATGTTAGAAATAAGAATTTCTTAATATCTTCAGATCAAAAAGGGCAAGGAAAAAAACACAGAAAAGTATAATTGCAGAGTAGACAGAAAAGCAAGAATTGATTTCTTCAAACTCTTCCACTGCCACATTGAGAAAACAATGAACTGAAAAACAAAGAGGATTTACCAACTCTTCTATTGAAAAGCAAGAAAAAATTTTATAGGCATATTTTGGGAGGAGGAAAACAGTGATTGTAGTAATAAACAGAGCCTTCAGCTCTTTTCCAACAATCAAGAATTTAGAAGGAAGGTAAGTTAATAGTCATTAATCTTTGATAGATAATTTTGCTAATTTTTTCCAAAAAATCTAAATTCAAATCAACTTACTTAATTTGCATTTATTTACACTGACATGACCAAACTGCAACACTTATAAAGTCAACATTTTTAGCAAAACATTATTTTCTTACCCTCATTGGATGTATATCAGCATAAGGGGGTTTTCCTTCAGCCATTTCTACGGAAGTAATGCCAAGAGACCAGATGTCGGCCACACAGTTATAGCCTATTTCTTGAATCACCTCTGGAGCCATCCAAAATGGAGTTCCTATCACAGTATTGCGTTTTGCCATTGTATCCTGCAATAGCATTACACAGACATAAATACTACCAAAAAACTCAAAGGAAATCTGTATGCCAAACAAGTTCTTTAAAAAAAAAAGTTAAACCCTTAAATACCACAGATCATATCTGAAAAGTTTTAAAAATTATTACATGACATAATTAGGAATTTTGAATTATGAAATAACCTAGAGTCCACAAGTAACTTATTTCCGCCACCATCATTAAAGACAGTCATTAAAGATTGTCTATAAGACAGACTATAACAATAAAAGCTACAGAAATGAACCAATGTAGTTTCTCTTTTAGTTCATTTAAGTTTTTTGTTTGTTTTGCTTTTGAGTTGGAGTCTCACTCTGTCGCCCAGACTGGAGTGCAGTGGCTGCTCCCGGCCACCGCAGCCTCGACCTGCTGGGCTCCGGAGATTCTTCTGCCTCAGCCTTCCGAGTAGCCGGAATTACAGGTGTGCACTACCACGCCCGGCTAATTTTTTTGATTTTATTGTAGAGATGAGGTCTCGCCTACCCAGGCAGGTCTCGAACCCGCAGGCTCAGGCAATCCACTCACCTCAGCCTCCCAAAGGCGCGGGATTACAGGTTGAGCACCGAGCCTGGCTCATTTAAGTATTTTTTATGACAAGATATATTTTCATGTTCAATGTTCCTTAAATTGTAAATTAAATAACACTCAAATTCAGCTCAATTATGACTCCTCCATAAAAACAAAAAAAGTTACACACATTATTTCCATACCCCCCCAAAAGTTACCAAAGTTTAGTCACAATCAAACCTGAACAAATATGCCAAAAGTATTTCCAAAATTAAAGTTAACTTACTGTTAGCTGGCCAGCCACCCCAAAATCTGCCAATTTTGCATGTCCTTCTGTATTAAGGAGAATATTTCCAGCTTTTATATCTCTGTGTATTTTTCTCATAAAGTGCAAATATTCTAATCCTTTCAGTGTAGATTTGAGAATGGTTGCAATTTCATCTTCTGTTAACTGAAAATAAATATTTTAAAAACCATATTAAAAAATTTATTAGACAAACTCTTACAAGAAAACACTGGTAACAAGTCCTTCTTTCTAACGACAATTAAACTTCTAGGAAAAAACTGAAGGGTAAATAATTGAGAACCTCTTCTTTCCCTTACAATATGCTTTGTCACGATATTACACATTTCTAAGTCACAGAATATACCCCAAGAACCATCCTGATCATAAGAAATCATTATTTCCCATGACAAAATTTATTTCCCATGACATAATTATTTCCCATAATTACTTCGCATAACATAATTATTTCCCATGGCATAATCCATGACATAACACTGAGATGGTATTATGGCTGTCCTGAAATGTTAAATTCAGATACTCTTCCCTGCAAAACTTCAGATTCTTGGTGAAAATGAAAACCAATATCTTTACATAAAGTAAAGGAAATGAAGGAGGCTGGCTTGCTACCAATCTCCTACACGAAACTCTTATACAAATGCCATTCCTCCTACAGCCAGCTAGGACACAACTGACCCATCCAAGTCCTGGACTTCTAAGAAATCAAAAATTTTTAATGTCAGAGAAAGATTAAGAAAATGGAGCCGGGCTCGGTGGCTCAGCCTGTAATCCTGCGCTTTGGGAGGCCGAGGTGAGTGGATTGCCTGAGCCCATGGGTTCGAGACCCACCTGGGCAACTTGGTGAGACCTCATCTCTACAATAAATCAAAAAAAGTATTAGCTGGGCATGGTAGCGCATGCCTATAGTTCCAGCTACTTGGAAGGCTGAGGCGGAAGGATTGCCGGAGCCCAGCAGGTCGAGGCTGTGGTGGCCGGGAGCAGCCACTGCACTCCAGTCTGGGTGACAGAGTGAGACTCTAACTCAAAAAAAAAAAAAAAAGAAAAGAAAAAGGAAACACAAACAAAGGCTATCAGAGGAAGAAAAGGGGAAAAGGAGAAAAGACCATAGAGGAGAAGGGTGAGGAAAAAAACATTCTTAACATTTATGTGAACAAAATCATGAATTTTGCAGCAACCTGGATGGAACTAGAGTCTATAATACTGAGTGACCTCTCACAGAAACAAAGATCCGAGTATCACATGTTCTCACTCATATAATAGACCGTGAACATCCAATGTAATACTATAAGAAAATGACTGACAGTACTGGGAAACTATAGGGGGGGAAGGAGATGGGATTAACAGTAGCAAATATCTGTCTGGGTACGGGGAAACACCTCTTATCAACAGGGTGCCTGAATGAAACATAATTGTATACCTAACCCTTAACTGTACCCCACAACATCATAATAAAAAATACTGATATAAAAAAAAACATTTATGGCAGTATAGCCCCTGCTATCTGTACCAGGAAATATGTTAAATATGTAAATGTGCTAATGTGCAAATGTTGCACACATCATCTCATTTATCTTTACTTTGTATATAAAATAATCTTATAAGGTAGTGTGATATTATTAAATAATAAGAAATAAATATTTGGCCTTATTCAAAGGTTCCTGGCACAAGAGCTCCTCAAACCCTTTCAATTGGCTGAGTGATAGAGATGAAAGGGACCATCTTTTGTCATTCACTATAAGCCCCTTTCAATTATACCAGTTTATGTCGATGAGGTGATTCTTCAGGGCTAGTTGCCAGAACCAACCATGATTAGAAGGTTGGAAATTTCATCTTCTGACCTATGGGAGGTAAGGAAGAAAGACTAGAGATTGAGCTAATCACTAATGTCCAATGTCTTAATCGACTATGACTACATAATGGAATTAGCTATACAAACCCTAAATGATGAAGACAGCTCTCGTGAAACTTATAATGACAGGTAAAGGAATAATTTGATAGAAAACACAAAAATGTCAGTGACATTTGTTATAAGTAAAATAATAGAGAGCTATTGATAGAGAATGATATTGGTAGAGAAGCTACTTTAGACTACAAGGCCCAAGGTACATTTTTACTGAGGTCTAAATGATATGAGGTACTAACCATGTGAATCTGGGAACACACATTCCACAAAAAGGAAAAAAAAAAAACACCTTAACTCAACCTCTCAAACTTTTCCAAAAAACTGAAGAAAAGGAAATACTTCCAAGCTCATTCTGAGGCATTATCCTGATACCAAAGTCATTACAAGAAAAAAAAAACTATAAACCAATATACCTCATGAACAGTGATGCAAAAATTCTCAACAAAATATTAGCATATCCACTTCAGCAGGATATTATATACCAAGACCAAGTGGAATTTATTCTTAGAATGCAAGGATAGTTCAGTATACAAGAATCAGTGTAATACACCACATTAACAGAATGAAGGAGAAGAAACCACATCATCACCTCAATTCGTAACATAAAGGCATTTGGCCAAACTGAACATCCTTTCATAATCAAAACACACACAAAAAAACAAAAATTGAAGGAAACTATCTCAACATAATAAAAGCCATATACAAAAAAGTCCAAAGCAAACATCATATCACAGATGATATAACATATGCAGAAAACAGAAAAGGCTAAATAGTTCACAAATAACTGTTACAACTAATAAGTAAATTCAACAAAGCAACAAAATACAAAATCAATATAACAAAATCAGTTGCATATCTATACAAAAACAATGATCAACTTGAAAAAAATACAAAAACAATATTATTTACAATGGAATCAAATGAATAAAATGCTTAGGAATTAACTTAACCACGGAGGTAAAAGCCTCGTACAATGAAAACTACAACATTGCTTAAATAAATTTAAAAGGACATAAAGAAATGGAAACCCATCCTATGTTCACAAATAGGAAGACCTAATATTGTTATACAATGCCAATGCTACTCAAAGCCATCTATAGATTCAACACAATCACTATCAAATCTCAATGTTTACTACAAAAATAGAAAAACTTATCCTAAAATTCATATGGAATCTCAAGGAGCCCCAAATAGCCAAAACAATACCGAAATAGAAGAACAAAGTTATATATCCCATAATTCCTGATTTCAAGCCTTATTACAAACCTATAGTAATCAAAACAGTGTGGTACAGGCATAAAGAAAGACATAAAGATGAATGGAAAAGAACAGAGAAGCCAGAAATAACCCCTGCATATATAATAAATGATTTTCAGCAAGACTGCCAAGACCATTCAATAGAAAGAATAGAATTTTCAACAAATGGTGCTGGGAAAACATATCCATGTACTAAAGAATAAAGCTGAGCCCTTACCTAATATTATATACAAAAATAACTCTAAATAGATCAAAGACCTAAATGTAAGCTATAACTCTTGGGGAGAAAAAAAAAACACAGGCCAAAACCCCTATGACACTGATTTTGGTAATGATTTCTTGGATACGACCAAAAAAGGCACAAGCCCTGTAAGAAAAAATAGACAAACTGGACTTTATGAAAATTTTACAATGTTATGCCTCAAAATATCAACAAAGTAAAAAGGTAACCCACAGGATGAATGAAAATGTTTGCTAACTATATATCTGATAAAAGATTAATATCCAGAATGTATAGAGAACTCCTAAAACTCAAAAATAAAAAACAAACAACTCAATTCAAAAATGGGCAAAGGGCTTAAAAAAGACATTTTGCCAAAGATATACAAATGGTCAATAAGAACCTGAGAAGATCTTCAACATTAGAAAAATGTAGCCTCCTCATTAAGAAAATGTAAATCAAGGCTGGGCATGGTGGATCAAACCTGTAATCCCAGGACTTTGGGAGACTGAGGTGAGAGAATTACCTGAGTCCACAGGTTTGAGACTAGCCTGGGCAACTTGGTGAGATCTCATCTCTACAGTAACTCAAAAAATTAGCTGGATGTGGTAATGCATGCCTATAGTTCCAGCTACTTGAAAGGCTGAGGTGAGAGGATCGCCTTAGACCAGCAGGTTGACCCTGGGGTGGCCATGCATGTGCCACTGCAATCCAGCCTGGGCAACAAAGTGAGACTCCAACTCAAAATAAAAAAGAAAATGTAAATCAAAACCACAATAAAATACCATTTAATTTTCATTAAGATGGCTATTTTTTTAATGAAAATAAGAAGTGTTGGCAAAGATGTGAAGAAATTAGAATCCTTGTGCACTATTAGCAGGAATGTAGAATGCTATAGCCACTGTAGAAAACAGTATGGAGATTCCTCAAAAAATTAAAAATATAATTACCTTTTGATCAAGCAATTCTACTTCTGGGTAAATCCTCAAAACAACTAAAAGCAAGGTCTCAAAGAGATATTTGTACACTCACATTCATAGCAGCATTATTCACAAGTTAAAAAGTGGAAGTAACCCAAGTGATCATCAACAGAAAAATAAGCAAAACGTGGTATATACATACAATGGAATTTTATTCAGCTTTAACAAGGAAGAAAATTCTGCAACATGCTACAACATGGATGGCCCTTGAGGACATTATGCTAAGTGAAATAAGCCTGTCACAAGAAAGACAAACACTATATGATTCTGTTTATGAAACACTTCATGTAATCAAAATCAAAGAGATAGATAGTTGAACAGTGGTTGCCAGGGCTCTGAGGTGGGGAGAGGGGATTGAGTAGTTAAGTGTTTAATGGGTAGAGAGTTTCCATTTTATAAGATAAAAAGTGTTAGGGATATGGATTATGGTAATGGTTACACAACATTATAAATGCATTCAATACCACTGAACTGCACACTTAAAAGGTAGTTAAGATGGTAAGTTTTGTTTACGGGCATGTTACCACGATAAAAATAAAACTGAAAGGGGAAAAAAACACCTTGACTCAAGAAAAAACTTACCACATTTGAGATGAAGAAAGAAGGCTGAAGTGTAATGAGCCAGGACAAGACTAGTTCTAGATGAGGTCTGAGAGACAGGCAAAAGCCAGATCATGGAAGGTTTTATCAGCTATGGGTAAGGAGTCTGAGTTATTGGAAAATTCTGGCACTTCCAAGAATTTATTCTTGACCTCAGATCAGATGGTCTGAGTTGACAGTCCAAAGA